ATTTTTCCTCACGTCCAATCTAAACCTCCCCTGGCGCAACTTGAGCCCATTTCCTCTCGTCCTATCGCTTGTTACTTGGGAGAAGAGGCTGACACCCACCTCGCTACAACCTCCTTTCAGGTAGTTGTAGAGAGCGATGAGGTCTCCCCTCAGCCTCCTTTTCTCCAGGCTAAAATATGCTTGATTGCATAGCTCCTAGAAAAGTCAGTACATAACACCACTGGTACTGTTTTCTGTTTGTGTGAAAGAGGCATTCCTCTTTTGAATATTGCAGTCCTTCCTATCATACGCTGTTTTTTCAAAATGTTGCTACTAAAGGAAAAACAAAACAAAAACCCCTCTCATCAGGTAAGAGATATGCCCAACTAAATCTTTTCATTGACTTCCAGCTAGTCATTCCAATGAATCATATTCAAATTGCTTCCCATTTCTGAGGTTAAGCAAGAGATAATTAGTACTGAGACATTTGTCCTTTTTCTCTTTTTTCCTGTACAACTTCAGTACCCCTTATGATAACCTCCATAGCCTCAAACTCTTCCAATGTTTTTTGCAGTTTGCTAACCTGCTTCTCTTCTTGAGGCACCCCTCTTTCAAAGCTGTGAATCAAGTCATGACACAACCTGTCAGACTTCCTTTTTAATGCTCTAAATGCATTTTTACAAAACAAAATTGATTTACTCAGATGCCATAAAACATCCTGTAAAAAACTATCAGACTTCTGTTCAGGGGCAGTTGCTTTCCTTTGCTTCTGCTGTATGTCGTAGTGCCGTCCCTTGAAAGTTCATTTCTGCCATCGTCTATCACCAGTGGCAACAGTCCAGTTCACTAACTTAGCTGAAAGTCACAGAACTATTTGAGGATGAAAATATTACTTGCTACAGAATAAGGGTGGCAAAATTAGCACAGCAACAAATAGATTTGTCACAATGGCATTTTTTCACTACTGTATGTCGGATCTCCATAGCAATCCATGAGGGGAGTCTGAAATGGGATCACCTGATGGCTCATGTGCTATTCTTTTCTTGTAACAGAATGCTTTTGGTTTTCAAACAGGACTCGGAGGAACCAAGTACATCTCCTTTGAAGAACGGCAGTGGCATAACGATTGCTTTAATTGTAAGAAGTGCTCCCTCTCATTAGTGGGTCGCGGCTTCCTCACAGAAAGGGATGACATCCTTTGCCCTGAATGTGGGAAGGATATTTAAAGCTCAAAATAAGAGGTGGGGAGAGCAGAGGAAAGCCGTGCTTGCAACATATAGTCTGAAATACACAGATGTTCGGAACTAGCTTTGCCACCCTGTGTTTTGCTGTATTATTAACATTACTTAACCTTTTTATTCAAACTCTCCAAATCTGGAGAGAAAACAGCTTCCAAATCTCTAGTAGCAGTGTTGGTGTTTAAGGTTTCTACAGCTAACCAAAACTAATGCGAAACCTGAGATGTAAAACCATTTGGGTGTTTTGACATAACATACTCTTTTTGTTTTGGTGTTTTTTTTCCTTCCACTAAATATTCCAGTTACAAGCAAGTGATATAGTTCAAGGATTACAATGGCCACACACAATACATTCATAGACAGATATCAGGGTGAAACCCTCAGCCCACTGAAATCGATGGCAAACACCATTCAATTTCAATAAGGCTGTGGTCTCGCCTCAGTGTTCTTGAGCGATGTGACTAGTGTGTGCTGTCAAGTGTGTAGAAGGACTGCGAACGTAGAGGGTGTTTCAATGTGCAAGGATTTGTGCCATGCCATAAAGAGATAATGATAAAACAGTTGAAGTGGGAGTGCTTCATAACAGGTACATATTTTATTGCATGACTAGCTGATCACTGTGTGAAGTACAAGTTCTGATTGACAGTGTCAGTATTACAGTTAGTCGACATTACACTGCACATTGTATTTTTCAAAATAAAATAATTTAAAACAAAACTATGATTGTGCTTTAATTGTATTTACATGTTAGATATTTACAAATAAAATGCTTTAACAGTCTGAAGAAACACAATGCAAGAGCCATACAAACACAACCCTTTTTGCACCCAGTCATTATGAAACTGTGGAGCTTAGCCAATCCTCCTACAGGCCCTGCTGATACAACGTAGTCTTCTACTAACTGAAATCAGTGGGAAAATTATCAGCAAAACTGAACAACTGTATGAAAATACTGAATTGACTGCAGCTGATAAAAATGTGTTCATAGGCTCTAAACTCAAAACCAAAATATTATTGTTCTCAGCAAGCAAGGAGGTCAAGACAACTCAAAAGACATTTAATCTTTGCAAAAGTCAGAAGTTTAACTTCTATACTAGGGCATGCTTTAATTTTGTTCTGTATTGCAACACGTAATATCCTTTGCTCCAGCATCATTTCTGCTACATGTTTGCTGCAAAGGCAACTGTTAGCAACAGCATGCTAGCAGGACAATAAAATCAAGAGGAAACAATCCAAAGGAAGATAACTCTCTTCCCAAAGCAGACTTCAAGAAATATGGCCATGTTATGCAATGTACGATCCTGGTACACCTTCCAGATGGAATTCATTTGTATCCAGCAAAAGGAGGAAAGTAATATGTCACACTTCCAACAGGAATCTCCAGATGTGGAAAGAAAAATTAGGAATATACTTGCTCAGTGCGTAACAGGGTAGGGAAAGTTTGCTCCTACTTCCTGCCACCACTCTTGAATTTGTCTCTTTTTGTACCAAGCGTAAAATCCTCACAGGTCATTCCTCTCTCATTAATTCAACAAGCTAAATAGATGCATCAGATCAGATCTGGTTTACTGTACACCATTTGAAGAACATGGCTGGCTGACATTTTTGAAGTGCACACCGCGCTAACCTCATCTCGCTGAATGACTAAATTCTATCCTTTGGTGGCTTCATTCTATGATGAAGGCTGTAGTAAAGAATAGCCATTAAAATCCCTCTTATATCCACACCTCCCAAAGGAGGGCAAGTACTTCACTTACTCTCTCCTGTTGGGTCTGGCAACCACCCAGCACACTGCAGCTCTGCTCTAATACTCTGCTGAGAGAATAAGGATTACTATTAGCTAAGGGAGTAGTGGAAGGTTGTAAGAGCAGCATGGCTTGCATCTTGTCCCCCCAAGTGCTACAACAGACAGCAAAATGGTCCCAGCTTTGGGGAAAGGTAGGTGAAACATGACAAGGCTGGAAAGCATACTGGCCTGAAAACAAGACTGTTACCATGCAATAGCAGCATCACACTATTATTCCAGTACAGTTCTGCCTATCACTCCTTAACACATACCAACACACACGTGCTCCTAGCAACTGAACTACAACAAAATATAGCCTAGACTCTAAACCACTGCCAAGAAGCCACCCACAAAACAGAACTCCTACCAGACTGTTACACTAGTGCAAGGACCAGCACTTCACATGATACTAACTGCTGCTAAAACTCCAAGGTAGCTACGGAGCCTTTTTACCCTGTATGCTTCTTCTTAAGTTCTAATCACTTCAAGTCCACTGAAATATAACCGTATAAAATGAACAAGCTTAATTACATCACAAAAACAACTCAGCACTACTTTGTTTGCTTTTAATTGAATTTATTTAAATAGGATAAGGCTACTTAAAAGACAACTTTTTACATACAAAATGTACATTACGTTAAAGTTTGCTGTACTCAAGTACAAAAACTACACAAGTGTTTAGTAAAAGGGAAACAGCACACAATATTTCAAAACACACATTCTTACCATTTTACAGCATTCGAGAAGTGCCTTTTATGTTATAACAGTGAATGGAGAACTTCTGTCAGTAATGAATTAAGCTACAGTTTTTGGTTTCAATATTAACCAACGTTAAAAATGTAAACAAGTTTTCAGATCACTACTGACAGTTAGTGGGTTAACTACATGGATTCAGAAGTCGATTCTTTTTTTTTTTGTTTCTGTTTTACTAAGTCTGGGAGCATTATTATTATTTACCATCCATATCTAAAATGGATCTAAATTGGCTTCACCCTGAGCCACTGAGATTTAATAAAAATGTTTCCATCAACTTAACTGGATTTCTGCCTTATAAGGCACTACCAATAATCCAGAGGAAACACCAAGTTTCACAGAAAATCAACATCCATCTTAAACTATCAAAGGAAGGGAAAACAGGTTGTTTTTTCTTTTTTTAGATGCAATTACATACCCTAATGCTCTCAAGGTACTTCTTTGTCTTCCTATGCCTGTCCCTCTCCGACTGTTAGTAAGTTGAGAAAGCACTGACCTGCATTCCACAGGTTTTCCCCATATTTTATAAGCATGATTGTAATCAGGAAAACAAGCAAATTTGCTACATCGGCACATTTTTACACTTATGCATCTATAAAATATGCCTGTGTATTTAAGAGAACATGGCACTAATCCATTCACTACTTCCTCTCAAAGATTCATATCAAACAGTCTAATTAAACATACTTCCATCTGTGCATTTCTTATTTCATACGTCAATAAGAGAAACTTCAATTTGAAGCAATGCTGTTAAATAGTTCATCTCTTATTACCAACCTAACTTGCACTGTAAATTCTACACTCCTTTTCTGTGCAACAAAAAGGAAAAAAAAATTGTCTCAGACTATCTTATCAGCAGAACGGTCAGTTTTCTCATATAAATGAATTATCTTTTTGAAGCCAAGAAGGCTCTTGGGATCACTCTGAATCTCAATAGCTATTTTAACTATTTAACCAGAAGTGGAACAAAACTGAATCTTACTGAAACAAAAAAAAGATATATTTATATGTGTGAATCATAGTGACATGCAGGAGATGAACTATAATAAATCTTGAAAACTAAAAGTGGGGCGTTTAGTATGTTGTAATATTACCACCTTTTAAAGAAGTAATGAACTACTTGGTGTACAAGAGTAGACGCTCTTAAGGTGACTGGTGATGACTCCAGCTTTATACCAGGGAACTTTTAAACTTGTTAAAACTTCACAGCAATCTGAATCCCTGTAAGTTTTAAAAAGAATTGTACTTAAACTGTTTAAATAGGACTTATCTGTTTGAAAATATTGATGTTACATTTATGTTTCAAGCACCATTAGCTACTTCATGGCCATGTAACATGCTGGATTTTCTTCTTTGCTTCCGTAGGCTTTAGGTCATTCTGAAATACAAGAAAATATATAAGTAAACTTAGATATACTGCGCAAGCAGAAGTTAGTAATTAACCTGCCAAATTAAAATCTAGTACTTACTATTACTCGGCTATATGCTACTACAACAGCTTTCTATTGCCATCTTGTGGAGAAAATTAAATATCACAGAACTTCTCTAGAGAAGGTAAAAATAAAGCCAATGAATTTAACTACCTGCAAATCATATGTCTTTTGTTTTTTCTTAATCCTACAATTAGTTATGCAAAAATATCTTTCAATTATGCAGCATAGAAACTGGTACATACTGGAGTTTCAAAACATACTTCTAAAGTTATTTCAGATTGCCTTCTTAAAATACTTGTTGAAATGGGATTGTATAAGAAAAAAACAAATATACAACTAGGAAACCAATTTACTTTTGTCAAATAGTAAAAACGTTAGAAAAAGAGAAGGAAAAGTTGGTCTTCCTTTGTAATGACCTGTATAAAAAAAAGTGAAATAATTGCGAAAGCCTCAGATGAACTCATCTTTCAAGCCCCACCCCAAGAAACCAGAAAAAAAATCAAGTAAGCCCAAAGTAAAACAAGGGGAGATTGAAGTGGTGAAATAATTACCTTTCAGCATCTAAAGAAAGAAGAAAACCTGAGAAATTAGAGCTTTAATAGTCCACACAAGCAGAGTAAAGACAGATATATGAGTTTTCAAGAACATTCTGCAACACACTGGTTTGGGGAGCACAATCTGGAGATCTCTCTTCTCATTAGGAGTTTCAGCGTTAGTTTATTTACAGCAATCCTGTGGATTGCAACCACTGAAAGGTTTAAGGGAATTAGACCCAAAGATCAGAAGGATAGTTCTGTGCTATTCAGCATAAGAACTTCAGTTTTTCTTGAAAGTCAAAGAATGGTCACTTGCTTGAAAAGGCAATTGTCATTACTGTATACTAAAAATATATCAGGCTTTACACACTACAGCCATCTGCCAAGTACGCTGATTCTTCCTGGCTGCATCACTTATTATTCAATACCACGTTCTTTAATCTCAGACAGTAAAGTAACATCCATACAACACACTTGCCTAACTTCAAACGTGTCTGACCGACATTAACCAAGGCATGACTGAACTTAACCAGTATTAACTTGAACAACAAACTGTGGCTACGAGAGAAAGTCAAGTGTCAAGAGGTCATAGCTTCTGAGTGTCAGTTATACAGCATCACTTAAAAGTGTTCATCATTGTGTCTACAAAACATTTAAATTAAATATAAAGAAGCTGTGAGGTGTATACTAAACAAGTTTCAAAAGTTCTGTAGGTTCAGATCTGATCAGTACTTAGAAGAGTTCTAAATACTAAAATAAGTTAGTGATACCGATAGTAGGAAACACACCTCTCCAGCATAAATTTGATTCAGGGCCTCAGCCATGATTCTTGTAAAAGTGGCTAAAGCTGTCTTTCAGAACAGCCATGTGTTTAGAAGCTCACGTTTAACAGAAGTCTGATGGAACCTACCAATCCATGCAGCAAGGATATTACCTGCATTCTTTCACGAAAGGATTTTAAAAAAAGAGATTAAGAGAAAGCATTTCATGAGGCAATATTGAGAAAACAGAAGCTGGTATCCTGGGAAAATGTTAATCAATGTAATTGCACACTGCATATCTAAAGCTCCCCCTGCAGTTCAACTGAGAACAGATATTTCCATTTCTTCCTTTGAAGTCCAGACTTATTCCAGATATTCCCGTGGAAATGTGAAAATTCCTTCATTTGTATTATGAAGGAATAACACAAATATAAGAGTTATCCCTACCTCACAGCATGTTTTAAAGAGAAGATGACCCATTGCTCCTTGCTCACTGACAGCTGAAGTCGAGGTAGACCACATCCACAGCCTTTCCCTCATCCACTAGGCGGGTCACCTGGTCATAGAAGGAATAACACAAATATAAGAGTTATCCCTACCTCACAGCATGTTTTAAAGAGAAGATGACCCATTGCTCCTTGCTCACTGACAAGCCCTTAAAGACTAATCACACCTTTGTCAAAAATAACCACTGTCTCCCCAACTGGCAGCTACATTCAGCACCATTACCTACACTTTCAAAGATACGCCTTCCTGAATTCACATATCCTGCCTTAGCTCTTGCCTCATCACTTCAGCTCATCAGCCTCATTCTGTCTCCATCTGTAGTGTAGTTCTCTTCTCTACAGAAAATTTGTTTGCAGCTGAATCTAACTTGCAGAAAGAAGATAACTATTTACCTTTATGTTTAACAGCTCAGTCATCAATCTTCTACTTGAGAACAGCACCCTTCTGTTCAAGATCTCAGCATGTCTTTTCTCAGCATCTTATAGAAGGCCAGGTACTCTCAGCATGTCTTTCTCAGCATCTTATAGAAGGCCAGGTACCTGATTAAAATCACCATGGCTCAAAATGAGCACTCGACCTTTGGCCTCTCACTTCAACTAGTATGGTTTGTTGTTATGGCTTCTCATTCAGACCCACCATCTAGGCAGCTCTCCAGATTTTCACATCCAGTTCCTTCCTCTAGCTTGCCAATTGCTATGTGAGATTTAAAACAGATGGTGTTCTTCCTCTAAGGATATATTCTACAGCTCTCAGCATCTCACTTCAGTTCCCGTAATATCTCTTCCTTCACTTTGACAAATGAAAGCTTGTCCTATTCAACCATTCAAGTGTGATTGTTACAATGCTATCATTCCATTTTTTTCTTCCCTACTACAGAAAACAGACCACTTGTCCTCCCTTTAAGGCTGTTCATGTTGTTCTATAATACCTGCTCTCTCTCTCAGACCTACCAGTAGGATTATTTTGTTTGTATTTTATTTGACTGCTACCAGCACCACCTTAAGTATTACCTACTCACTCATTTTAAAATTACATGCATGTTTTCTACAAAGCTGCCTCTCTCACACAGAAGTTTCCCATGGACAAGTACAAAGTACTTCATTCATTCTAATCTTTCCCAAACCAGCTACTCTTTTGCCTGTTTCTAAATAAAAACTCTACTATTACTCCAAAATAAAATAATCCTGAAAACTCTTAGAAGAGTCTACCTTTGGCTCCTGCAAGTTTTAATTAAAAAAAAAAAAAAAAAAAGCTGCAAAACAAGATACTGAACGTACATACCGGCAAATCAGATTCTTCTTTTGGAACAGCTCTCTTTAACTTCACAACAGTAGTTCCTGCTACCGGAGACAAAGGGTACACCTTCAGACTGGCCAATACACTGCTGTTAGTCTTTGAAATATTGTTCTGCTTAGCCTCATTATTCCTCATTCCCAGCTTAGCGTCCTCTGATAAACTGGAGGCTGAAATGTATGTTGAGGCATTTGAAGGAACTGATAATCTTCTAACAGTGTTGGTGGTGCTTCCAGCTGGAGGAGGTTTTAGCCGATCAGCAGCTCCATTCTCTGTCTTCTTCACCTTTATGCTTGTACTTGTTGAATTGCCATCAAATACGATTAATGGCCGTTTCCTTAAACCTTCCACCGTTGTAACACTGAAAATACAAATTGTAAAATTCTCAGAAACACAAGCTAGATGGTCCAAAAATAGTATATCCAAGATGTGAGTAGTAAAAATGAATTTAATCTTGCCCAAAGTAAAAATGTATCCCAAAATACTAACCTTAACCTCTTAGCTGCTCCAAACTTAGGCAACAGAAATTGCTTCCAAAATATAAAGGGGAGAGAGGGGCAGGGGGTTGTGTGAGGAACAGTGTTCTTCAGCAAAGAGGGTTGTGTGAGGAACTTTCTAGGCAGACAATTACAGTTGTACAACCAAAGACTGTATGCTTATACCACTGTAGCTATTCCAGAGTAACTAAAGAGATAATAGCTGTTAAGTATTTCAAAATGTGAATATTTGAGAAAATGTGTGCCACCTTACCTACAAGAACAGCATCTAATATCCTGATGCTTCTAAATCTCCCTGTTTCCACTCTTACTCAAAATCATAATGTTAAGACAGTATAAAAGACTGTTAGACAAGGAATGAAAACATTAAGCAAAAAAAAAAAAACCATGCCTGTTTTTGAAATAAGCTGCCTTTGAACAGGAACCCTAAGCTGATTTAATGACTTTTTTTTTTTTTTTTTAATAGTTTGTGCCTTTAAGTCTATGTGTAGTCAGAGCTGGCCAATTTAGTAGCAACTGATTTATGATAAAGGAATACTATCAAGCTGATATCAAAATAGTAGTATCAGAAAACATCCTGACTGCCAAAAAATAAAGCACAAAGTTATCATAGCTCACTTGACATGAATTCAGAGTTTTAAAAAAGCATTGCTCAAGAATGACAAAGAGAAAGTGTTTGGAAAGCGCAGATTTAACAAATAAAAAAACCAAACCACCATTAAGTTATATAATATTCCTGTTTAGAAACTTCAGTTTTCAGTATACGCTTACTGTTTAATCATCTCATATTAAACAGATGAATAAAAGTTGAACAATAGTGTTTTCAACAATTAAATATATTCCTTAATTTGCAATTAACTAATTTGACAATATTGATGTTAGGTATCTCAACAGACTTTAAAATAAGCCACAAGCAGAGACTCCAATTCGTTTGACTTGGAACAACATTAGATTAGTAGCTGCTGATAAACCTCACATATATAAGAAATTACACATTGCTTGCACAATTCCTGTCCAGACCAGGGGTGTCTTTAAAAAAAAAAATGAAAGGAGTCACAATTTAAGAGCTCATAGAGCAAGAGAAAGTTCAATTCTTCTTCAGATTTGCTTCTACATTACTATCTGTTCACAACAACATATGTCACATAATCCTGCTCTTTTTCTATTGTTGGGTTCCTGGAACTGATAGAGACAAAGAGAGACCTTCAATTCATTTGGGACTTGATTGTCAAGAGATCAGACACAACTCTTTGGCTTATACCTACAGTAGATGCCGTTTCTAGGAGAGCTTCTACAAAATGAGATTAGCTTCCAAGACCAGGAGTGTTCAGCCAGGCATGTTGTTTCAGTTAAATGCTACTGAAACAACAGCAGTATTTAACACGTCCTTTAAATTAAGGAGTATAATTTCACTTGAAAGTCTAAAAAGCTGACACACACTTAAAAAATAAAACATGATACTTTTTGCTCACTTTGGCTTTGTCCAAGAATTTATTCAACACTCCTGACAAAGAACACATTCCCCAGCACCCTTTTTGGAAAACTAGTTTATAAACTATGTGAAAGAAAAAAAATGTACAGCTTTTTTCTTTCACCTTCCTTTAACGTAAGAAGTCTGCTTTTCCTATGGAGATTTTTTTTTTTAATTCAGCTTGGTGAGGACTGGCAAGTCAAGAAATAACAGTCCTCCTAGAATTGCAGTTATCTATTCTAAACTGAATTTCAGAACTGTAGCACTTGTACAAATGACCACATGCTATAATACAGATAACATTCCCAGAGAAACACTTTGGGAAAGTTCCAAAAGAAATTTGGATGTTGTACCATCAAGAACTGTCACATCTAATTTTTAGATACATGGCTCACAGAATCTTGGGTGCGACATTCAGTTTCTTTATGTAAAGTACAAGCAGCTTAAAAGCTTCAGAGCAGGACTCATGTTAGCCAGCACTCTTCTGAGGGAGGACACTGACACTAGCTAACAGCTGTAAAGAACTGTTTTGGGATCATGTCCCCTCCTGCAGGACACTCTCTGTGAAACCTAGATTTCAATGCGCATCTCCTACATCCTAGGGGAATGCTCTAGCCACACTTTGGGCCGGGCTGGACGGAGGGCATGCTCTAATCCTGCTGTTTACTTTGTAGTGCATGGTAAAGAATACAAGATTTACTAGAGGAAGCAAAAGCTTCTCTACATGAGCAATCTGGGTTTCCACTGTTTCACATGATTACTCATGTAGTCAGGGTGGTCTCTGAGCAACTCCTGATTATGAGGACAATTTAATGAAAAATGCTCCTATTCTTGTCTAGCTTAGCCTGGTACTTAAGGTAGCACCCTAAAACCAGAGAGACGTGTAGGTTTTAGCTCCCACCCCTGATTATCCTAAATATTCATCTGTTACCAAAACAGGCAGGTGATCACCTCTTCTGTGAATGTCTGAAACTGGTCAGAAGTACCATGTTTTACACTGAACTCAATATTATCAGCACATTAGCAGTTCTCAGAGGATGCCGAAGTGGCCTCTCAAGTGACTAAGAAGACATGATGAGCTCTACCAAGGCCACAGCTCTGAGCAAGCACAGCCACAGTGCTCCTGGAGACTGAGAGTTTGCAGGTGAGAGTCTTCAGACTCAATGGCACTTCAGAAACTACACAGACATTTTGAGATTTATACCATCCTCTCTCTCCCAGCAGGCAAGATGATCTTATAGATCTACAAAGTTAACTGTCCCCGAACATAAATACTTTCTGAAATGTTTGAAGTTGGATAGACTGCTTTTGTTTTTATTTGGTATGATCGTCTGCAAGCTCAAATATTCAGTAATAAGATGTATAAACCATCATCTGTGTTCTCAGATATTTGATTGTATTATTGAGGTATAACACATTACTGCAGCTCAGCTGATATACAGCAAGTCTTTTAGGACATGTCATCAATCACCAGCAGTAAAACTAAACATGATATTCAACACTGACTTTTAAATTTCACTGTGTTTTTACCTCCTGTCTGTAACTACTAGAGGTATGCAAACACACACTGAGCTGTGCTGATCAAGTCTCCAAGCCTCATATTAATTCCAGTGCATGTTGTAAGGCTGTGCTTTCCACAGAGGAACTCATCAGAAAGCTCCTGTTGTTCATATGATCAATCTGTTTACCTGACTTCTAAACCGAACTAATAGCACGCCTAGTTCCCATCTCTGACTTGCACATAACTTACGGCCTCACAATACCTAGGAATTTTGTTTTCTTTTTAAAAACAAGAATGCCATGCTCTGCTTCCTCCTCTGCACAATGGTATCGTGCCAGTTCTGCTTAAGTGGTGCACACAACTATGAGGAAAAGTGTAATATTTTAACATCCAAAAAGATGATTGAACTTATTTGATTCTTTCTGTGAATATACTAGAACCGAAATTTTCTCAGTGCAACTTTTTCTTACTGAAAGTGCTGAAAGTCTGTTTCTCCCATTTCTCTGGCATTAGTAATACTAGCAGTAAAAGATTAACTTTTCTAGACGGTATTTTGCCAGGGTATTTGTTAAGTATGAAAGATGTAATACAAGCAAAAAAAGTAACTGCTGGAAAATCTTAAAACTGTCTAACAACAGAGCAAAAGACTAAGCCTAGCATGCTAGATGTTAAGTGCTAAAAGCAACTGGTAAAGAAAAGCAGACTGGTAGATTAAACATATCTCCTTTTACTTACTATTTTCCCAGCAAATACTACATGGGTTTAACCATTACTGAATTTTAGTGTACCAAAATAAGAGCACCTAAACTTATTCTACATATAAACTCTTGATGAAGCCATTCTCCCATTTAAAAATTAACATTGCCTCCTTCTCTCAAAAACATCCAGCCTGCTATCTTTATTTTTTGGTAAAAAATTATTTTGCACCTATTTCAGCACACCAGCAGTTTCTTATTATTCGAACACTAACCTCATGCTTTCATCCTCAAGTTGCAAGTTGTAAACAAGTCGAGGTACTAAAACCTTCTATGCGCATGGAAAAAAAAACCTGACATAAGATAACTCAGCATCCTAGCCACTAAAAATTTTTTAAAAAATCACTTGAATTTGTTTAGCTCTTCCCAGTTAGAAACCTCAGTAAAGCCAAAACAGACTCATGAAATCAACAAGCTGTAATACTGCGAAACTATAATGAGAATTTCCATCCACCTTTCCTTTAGCAGTTACTGCTGAAGTTAAATCAGAATGCCACCCATGCACATCACGCAAAGTCAAAGTCAAAGTCTTGGTTAGGGGGAAGGTCAGGAGGAGAAAAGATTCAGTAAAATAAACTTTTGAGGAAGATTTTGCTTTCTGATCAAATACAAACAGAAAGGTTTTAAAAACAAGGCAGAATGTTTCTTTCAGAAAGTAGGTGTTAGTTTTGAATTGGACACAGGAAACTGCTGCAGCATACACCCCTGACTCTAGAGTAGACCAACCCTATCCAGGGAGCAAGCTTTTAATTAAACATGCTTTTGGTACTTTTCTTAAACACAGTAAATATGATTATTATTTAACAATTATAAGGTGAAACAAAAAATAATTCCTTTTTCTTCATTATAAAGTATCTTGAAATGTACCAATAAGCCAGTATCAATACGGGCTGAGGGATGAAGGGATTGAGAGCAGCCCTGCCGAGAAGGACTTGGGGGTACTGGTGGGTGAAAAGCTGGACATGAGCCAGCAATGTGCGCGCGCAGCCCAGAAGGCCAATCGTACCCTGCACTGCATCAAAAGAAGCGTGGCCAGCAGGTCGAGGGAGGGGATTCTGCCCCTCTACTCTGCTCTGGTGAGACCCCACCTGGAGGACTGCGTCCAGCTCTGGAGCCCTCAGCATAAGAAAGACACGGACCTGTTGGAGCGGGTCCAGAAGAGGGCCACGAAAATAATCAGGGGGATGGAACACCTCTCCTATGAGGACAGGCTGAGAGAGTTGGGATTGTTCAGCCTGGAGAAGAGAAGGCTTCGGGGAGACCTTCTTGCAGCCTATCAGTACTTAAAGGGGGCTTATAAGAAAGGTGGGGACAGACTTTTTAGTAGGGCATGTAGCAATAGGACAAGGGGTAATGGTTTTAAACTAAAAGAGGGTAGATTCAGACTAGATATAAGGAAGACTTTTTTTTACGCTGAGGGTGGTGAAACACTGGCACAGGTTGCCCAGAGAGGTGGTGGATGCCCCATCCCTGGAAACATTTAAGGTCAGGTTGGACGGGGCTCTGAGCACCCTGATCTAGTTGAAGATGTCCCTGCCCACAGCAGGGGGGTTGGACTAGATGACCTTTAAAGGTCCCTTCCAACCCAAACCATTCTGTGATTCTATGAAAAGAAGCACTATAAGCTAGATACCGTTAATAACATTTGGATGACAAAAAAAAGATTATCTTCCCCTTTTTCCTCGTATTGCAGTAGTAGAATCTAACACTTCTGACACAGGAGACCTGACACCGCATTCTCTGTAAACTGTCACAATGTCCAAAAGCTGTAGAAGTTTCATTAATCAGGCAAACAAAGATTCAGCTAAATGCATTGTCCTAAGTTCTCCAAGTCTAGCCCAACAAAAGCTAAATTACCTTTTATTCTCACTTTTTGACTCATTTTGCTGTCTTTTCTTTTCCATCATTTTCCCCCATCTACTTTTTGGTAAGTCACGCTGAGGCAGTGGAATGGCATGTTGTCTATATAGATCAGTGAGACCATCTTTGTCCATCTTTACATCATTTTCGACAAGTATATTCTTCTGTGGAGAACAGAAAAAAAGTTGTTATTATTATGACAAATTCAAAGCACAACCATCTTAGTGGCATAACTTCTTTTTTTCAAAAGCCACTTTAAGGTAGTGTATTGGGCATAAATGCCAGGGTTTCAGAAGTGAGGGGGCTGCAGGGGTGACCAGTGTGGGGAGGCCATGAACTGCCTTGTGCCAATGACAGCCTGGTCTCCTGCCTTCCCACTGTCAACTTCCCTTGTTTTCCGTGTGGATTACACTTGGTCCCTCCCTTCACTGAGGCAATGGGAAATACGGGATGTTTGGGTCAGTGCATAGCGGTTTCTTTTTCCACCACCTGCAAGCGCATCTCTTCACATATCTCCTCATATGCCTCTTCCTGTGCATTTTTCTCTGTCTCCCGCCCCCGGTGGCTGCCGCTCTTTGTCAACTGCATTTGAGCACAGGTGCCATGAGCTCCTCTGCTTGAAATTTTGGCATGTGATGGGCTGTTTTCATCAGTGTCAGAGACAGCTGGATCCAGCTGTGACTAGTACTGGGCAGTTCATCACCTTTGCCCACGCAGGTCAATCCTGCAGCCCCTCCCTATCCAAAACCCTGCAATTTTTCCCAATAAAAATAGTAGGAAAAAAAAAAAAAAGGAAAAAGTTATGATAGACATACTGTTGATGACCGATGTTTTCACACACTCTTAAACACACCTCCCTGAACCCAACTACAATACCAGAGCTCTTCTGCACACTTCTAAAAAAACAGGCAACTAGAACATAACGCAGTTCAAACTCACAGATGTAGAGCCATGCTTCCTTCCTCAGTTCCCAAAGAATAAGTTGCGAAGGGAGATTTCTAGTAACTGTCAGTTATAACAGAACACCAGTTTTCTTTCTAATCATGTATAGGGTAGTGAAAACAAAATTTCTTGGTACCTCCTGCCAAATTTATTAAAAGAGAAAAAAACCCACTAACTTCCTACAAACTAGAGGCCACTGAAAGCAGGTCAAGTCTCTGCCACTGCTGGTTTTGGCAACACTTCACGACTTCTGATGTGGGCCTAAAACCTGTACGTTTTTGTCCACATAAACTACATGGACAAGAGCATACAAAAATTCAGCGAGCTCATACAAAAACCTAAAACTTTTATTACTATTGTTTCATGCACCTAAAATTTTCAGGCAAGGCAGTAACAAGTATTCCAAATCACATCAACTAAAGCTTCGTACGGTCCAAAACTGTTTGTAACTCACTTTCAAACTTTTTTTTTTCAATTATGCATAGTTAAGCATTAGCTTGACTGATTATGTAGGATGCATTTCCTTAATTCACTGGGTATGAACACAGCAACTTTAACAGAGCAAAGATCATCTTTCCACAGATAATTTTACTGTATGCAAACACCGCCTCACAGACATGCTCATTTGGGTAAATTATTCTTTAGCAGCTACAGCGGCAGTGTTCAAACACAGCTCCTCTGCAAACACGGAGGCATCTCTCACACTACAGGCCTCCTCTAAGCAAGTACCTAGCCTACAGAGTACCGACTTGGGTTTTGTTTGGGTTTTGGGTTTTTTTTTTTCCCCGAATGCTTCTTGCGCACCCGTTAAGGGCGCTACAAAGACTGGAAACCCCAGGAGGACTGGGAGAAAACTCCCCGTGTAGGTGATGGGGGGGGGTAGGAGTTTCCTTGCAGAGTAAAGCGGAGAAACAAACAGGGCGGGTCTAACGCGGAGGGGGGGACACGACAACAAGCAGGGCCGCAGGCCCGAGAGGCCTCCCTTCCCGCCGGACGGGGAAGGCACCGCACCC